TGCTACTACGTCTAATTAAAGGCTAAACTGCCAGAAGTTCTCTCTCTTTTGTTTGTTTTTATATTTATTATCTATCATTTGAATTAAAGCTCAGGGACTCCCCCGTTACTGTGAAATGTTTAAAAGGATAATCCAGACATGTTTATTATCTTATTAACCAAAATAACTTATTCTTGCTCCAATTAATCAGCAGTGTGAACTCTGACCTCAGAGGCCACCTCCCAGTCTGGCCGACCATCGCTGTCCTTCAGCTCCACGTACGGCTTCTCGTGGACTCTGTTCAGGTCTTCGTGGAGGCCGTCGAGGAGGAAGGCCAGCAGCTCCTGAGAGTCCTGCTGCTGGAAGCCATTGAAACGGGGGGCGTACTTCGCTATCGTCCACTAAAGCAATGAATCATAAACTCTGATTAGAACATAAACACGACAAAACACAGCTGAGCCAAAAATCCACACTATCACTTTAATGTTCTGTGGCCTCCTCTGGATGTGCACCCGCCTGCACATGTTGCTGAGAAACTCTAATATATTGGAAATGCTGCAACTTCTCACCCTGAGTTTGAGTGGAGCTACATTCTTCTGTGTCCCGCTCCACAGCTCCATCACCAGGTCGCCGTAACACTTGGCCATGTGACCTCGCATCCCAATAGGATTGGTTCTATTGATACACCAAAAAAACAAAAGTTAGTTAAAATGAAAATGTTTGTTTTTGTTTTTCCCCTCGTTGTTATTTTGTATTCATTATAAACAGTTTTCTGTTTTTCTTTGTAAACTATATCCACACATACTCAAAAATATTTTGAATAAAAGGCACCTGTTGAGCTCGTAGAGGTGTCTCCCTGAGAGGAAGTAGTCTGTGAGAGGCTTGGTGTTGCTCACGCACTGGATGCTCGAGTTCATGAAGCAGGTGTTGCCAAGGTTACTGAGGCCAGTCGCCCCTTTCTCTGTGGGAACTGAGTTGGGACACAAAGACGTGTTCAGATGCTAAAATGCTTAACTGAAGAAAAATTATTCATACATACAATAGGGGTGGGGGAAAAA